TAACCTAACCTAACCAACCTAAACCTAACCTAACCTAACCTAAACCTAACCTAACCCTAACCTAACCTAACCTAACCTAACCTAACCTAACCTAACCTAACCTAACCTAAACCTAACCAACCTAACCAACCTAACCAACCTACCTAACCTAACCTAACTAACCTAACCTAACCTAACCTAACCTAACCTAACCCTAACCTAACCTAACCTAACCTAACCTAACCTAACCTAACCTAACCTAACCTAACCAACCTAACCTAACCTAAAACCTAACCCTAACCTAACCTACCTAACCTAACCTAACCTAACCTAACCTAACCTAACCTAACCTAACCTAACCTAACCTAAAACCTAACCTAAAAACCTAAACCTAACTAACCTAACCTAACCTAACCTAACCTAACCTAACCTAACCAACTAACCAACCTAACCAACCTAAACCCTAACCTACCTAACCTAACCTAACCTAACCTAACCTAACCTAACCTAACCTAACCTAACCCTAACCTAACCTAAACCTAACAAAACCAAACCAAACCAAACCAAACCAACAAAACCAAACCTAAACCTAACCTAACCTAACCTAACCCTAACCTAACCTAACCTAACCTAACCAACCTAACCTAACCAAACCAAACCAACAAAACCAAACCAACCAAACCAAACCAACCAAACCAAACCAAAACCAAACCAAACCAAAACCAAACCAAACCAAACCAAACCTAACCAACCTAACCTAACCAACCAAACCAAACCAAACCAAACCTAACCTAACCTAACCTAACCTAACCTAACCTAACCTAACCTAACCAACCTAACTAAACTAAACTAAACTAAACTAAACTAAACTAACCTAACCTAACCTAACCAAACCAACCAAACCAAACCAAAACCAAACCAAAACCAAACCAAACCAAACCAAACCAACCCAAACCAAACCTAACCTAACCTAACCTAACCTAATCCAAACCTAACCTAACCTAACCTAACCTAACCTAACCTAACTAACTTAACTTAACTTAACTTAACTTAACTTAACTTAACTTAACTTAACTTAACTTAACTTAACTTAACTTAACTTAACTTAACTTAACTTAACTTAAAACTTAACTGAACTTAACTTAACCTAACCTAACCTAACGAACCAAACGAAACCTAACCTAACCTAACTTAACCTAACCTAACCTAATCTAATCTAACCTAGCGAACCAAACCAAACCAAACCAAACCTAACCTAACCTAACCTAACGAACGAAACGTAACCCAACCCAACCCAACCTAACCTAACCAAACCTAACCTGAGGAACCAAACCAAACCAAACCTAACCTAACCGAATCTAACCAAACCTAACTAACCAAATCTATCCTAACCTAATTTATGTGCGGTAGACATATGCGTATACGCATAAAACGTTATTTCCGTATAATAAATGCGAATCTAACGGAATCTGAATAACTTGACCTAACCGAATCTAACCTTAGTCCAATTTAACCTAACCTAACCTAATCTGATCCAACCTAACCTAATCTAACCTAACTTAACCAAACCTAACCTAACATAACGTAACTTGACCTAATTTGACTAACACAAATAAACTTGACTTAACCTTCGCTAACCTACCTAACCTGATTGAGGGCGGCATCATCTCGTGCCAAGACGCCGCCATCTTGTTTGTTTCACCACGCATGCGCAGAGCACCAATCGGGTGACTTTTCTGCGATGCCCGACGTCTCTCCCTTTGTCACCATCATTATCACCACCATAGCAATGTGGACTATCATAAATCACACACACACACAAAGACACACGCACTCAAAGACACACACACAAAGACACACACACACACACACACACACACACACACACACACACACACACACACACACACACACACACACACACACACACACACACACACACACACACTCCCCCCCTCTACAGACACACATACAAACACACACACTCCCCCCTCTACATACACTCACAGACACACACACACACACACATACCGACGCAGGGCAGGTCGCCCCCTCCCACGTGGCCTCCGTCGCACAGGCACAGGAAGCTGCCGGCGATGTTGTTGCAGTTGGCGCTCGGGTGGCACGTGGCATTGCCCAGGAGGCACTCGTCCACGTCTGGAGGCAGAAAAGCGGGTTGTTTATTTGTTTGGTCTGTTGTGTGGTTGTTACTTTGTTTCTTTGGTCTGTTGTGTGGTTGTTACTTTGTTTCTTTGGTCTGTTGTGTGCTTTATTTCACTTTGTTTTTGGTCTGTTGTGTGGTTGTTACTTTATTTCTTTCTGTTGTGTGTTGTTACTTTGTTTCTTTGGTCTGTTTGTTGGCTTTGTTTCTTTGGTCTGTTGTGTGGTTTTTACTTTATTTGTTTGGTCTGTTGTGTGGTTGTTACTTGTTTCTTTGGTCTGTGTGTGGTTGTTACTTTATTTCTTTGGTCTGTTGTGTGTTTGTTACTTTGTTTCTTTGGTCTGTTGTGTGGTTGTTACTTTATTTCTTTGGTCTGTTGTGTGGTTGTTACTTTATTTCTTTGGTCTGTTGTGTGGTTGTTACTTTGTTTCTTTGGTCTGTTGTGTGGTTGTTACTTTATTTCTTTGGTCTGTTGTGTGGTTGTTACTTTGTTTCTTTGGTTGTTGTTGTGGTTTTACTTTATTTCTTTGGTCTGTTTGTGTGGTTGTTACTTTATTTCTTTGGTCTGTTGTGGTTGTTACTTTGTTTCTTTGTCTGTTGTGTGGTTGTGTTTCTTTGGTCTGTTGTGTGGTTGTTACTTTATTTGTTACTTTGTTTCTTTGGTCTGTTGTGTGGTTTGTTATTTATTTCTTTGGTCTGTTGTGTGGTTGTTACTTTATTTCTTTGGTCTGTTGTGTGGTTGTTACTTTGTTTCTTTGGTCTACTTTGGTGTTGTGTGGTTGTTACTTTGTTTCTTTGGTCTGTTGTGTGGTTGTTACTTTGTCTGTTGTTGGTTGTTACTTTTTTTGGTCTGTTGTGTGGTTGTACTTTGTTTCTTTGGTCTGTTGTGTGGTTGTTACTTTATTTGTTTGGTCTGTTGTGTGGTTGTACTTGGTCTGTTGTGTACTTTGTTTCTTTGGTCTGTTTGTGTGGTTGTTACTTGTTTCTTTGGTCTGTTGTGTGGTTGTACTTTATTTTCTTTTGGTCTGTTGTGTGGTTGTTACTTTCTTTGTCTGTTGTGTGTGTTGTTACTTTTGTTTCTTTGGTCTGTTGTGTGGTTGTTACTTTATTTCTTTGGTCTGTTGTGTGGTTGTTACTTTATTTCTTTGGTCTGTTGTGTGGTTGTTACTTTGTTTCTTTGGTCTGTTGTGTGGTTGTTACTTTGTTTCTTTGGTCTGTTGTGTGGTTGTTACTTTGTTTCTTTGGTCTGTTGTGTGGTTGTTACTTTGTTTCTTGGTCTGTTGTGGTTGTTACTTTGTTTCTTTGGTCTGTTGTGTGGTTGTTACTTTGTTTCTTTGGTCTGTTGTGTGGTTGTTACTTTGTTTCTTTGGTCTGTTGTGTGGTTGTTACTTTGTTTTCTTTGTCTGTTGTGTGGTTGTTACTTTGTTAGGTTTTCTAAGTGTTGTTTTTATTGTTAGTTATTGTTGTTTTTTGTTATTTTTGATTGATTTTTCGTTATTGTTTCGGATTGGTTATTGTTCTTTATTTTTTAATTATATATATATATATATATATATATATATATATATATATATATATATATATATATATATATATGTATGTATGTATATATCAAATTGCTATTGTTTTTTTTTTATGATATGGTTCTTATTTCCATTGATTTTAGTTGCTATTGCTCTTTTTGTCGTGTTGTTTTTCATTGTTATCGTTCTTTTTTGTGGGGTTGGATAGAGTAGGAGGGGTGGAAAGGGGGGGGACGGGTAAGGGGGGGGTGGGGCGGGGGGGAGGGAGGGGAGCTGGGGTTGTGGGGGAGTTCTTATCTTTTATTTTCTCTCTTTTTTGTTTTGATCGGTTGATAATTGGGTTTGTCCTGTTGTTTGTTTTTGTTTTTGTTTTGTTTTTTGCGTGTTTAGTTTTTCCTTTTTTGTTGTTTGTTCCGCATGCGTTTGTGTAAATATAAGATAGACATATAGTTAGAGATATACTTAGATGGAGAATAGACAGATAGAAATAGATAGAATAGATAGACGATCCATAGATAGATATCATAGGATAGATAGTATAGATAGTGCAGTCATATATAGATATACAGTGTTGACAGATGTTAGTGGTGTGTGTGTGTGTGTGGTTGTGTGTGTGGTGTGTGTGTGTGTGTGTGTGTGTTGTGTGTGTGTGTGTGTGTGTGTGTGTGTGTGTGTGTGTGTGTGTGTGTGTGTGTGTGTGTGTGTTGTGTGTGTGTGTGTGTGTGTGTGTGTGTGTGTGTGTTGTGTGTGTGTGTGTGTGTGTGTGTGTGTGTGTGTGTGTGTGTTGTGTGTGTGTGTGTGTGTGTGTGTGTGTGTGGTGTGTGTGTGTGTGCGTGTGTGTGTGTGCGTGTGTGTGCGTGCGTGTGTGTGTGTGGTGTGAGTGTGTTGTTGTGTGTTGCGTGTGGTGTGCGTGTGTGTGTGCGTGTGTGCGTGTAATGTGTACATATGTGAAACGCATACATATAACAAAAAAATCTTCAACCATAACATAAGCACAAACAAAAAGCAAAAACAAAAGGTCTTCCAAACACAACAAAGGCGAAGGAACAAAGAGTCGACAATCATCTTAAAAGTCAGACAAGTGGTTGTGATGGACCGAAATAAACATGATAGACAAGGGAATTAGGCATAAATTGGAAGGGGAAAAGGGGGAGACAGACACGAAGCGCCTCGGATGAGAATCGCCGCAGACACTGACAGGAAACACAACAGACATGAAGTGTCGCAGAGAGATCACAGACAAGACACAGACACGAAATGTCACAGACAAGACATAGAAACGAATGCGACAGACAAGAAACGCCACAGACAGAAATAAACACAGAGGAAACACCACAAATAAGACACAGACACGAAATGCTACAGAGAGGAAACACCACAGACAAGACAGACAGAAAACATCACAGCCATGACACAGACAGAAAACATCACAGACAGCAAACACCACAGACAAGACAAGCAAGTAACACCACACACGCGAAACACCACAGACAGAAGACGCCACAGACAAAGGGAGACGGCAGACATAAGAATGACAAAAGAACCAAGCCGAGTACCTGTCATGAGGGTGTAGACGTCCATGGCTGTCTGTCGCTGGATGATGTCTAAGATGTTGACCTTTTTCTCGAGTTCTTGGCGGCTGCGACCGGAGGCTGTGGGTGAATGTTGATGGGAGAATAAACGCACACATGCACATGTACACAGAAAAAGTACGAGCGCTTAGAAGACACACGTAATAGAGAATACGATTGCACATACTTTTAGAATACACAAAAGAACTCATACATACATACATAACCGAAAAATGTACATAGCAGAAAATTGTACACACATGCTTAAAACAGATACATGTACATGTAACGGAAAATACAAATGCATACACGCTTAGAATACACACATGTGTACACGCAGAAAACGCACACATACACTTACACATGGCCGACAAGGTATATGATGAAAAAACAAATACACGCTTGCTTGAAACACATACGTGCACACAGCCACGAACATTCTTACTCGCACGGATAAAGTTGTAAATATACTTTAGTCGATTATGAAGGTGGAAGCGGTCTAGAATGATAAGAAAAGCATCATACATACTCTTAATCAACCTTAATTAGTACTTCCACGGCAATACACGTTATGAACCTTACGCATTAATATCAACAGTTCAAAGTTAAGATGAGAAAGTAAAACGGAATTAAATCCTTTGAAAGTTTTTATAATCGATCCAACTCTGACCAAATTTTCACGGGCTGTCTAGTGTAATATAGTTCTTTTTCTTTGTCTCTTTTTGAACATTCAGGGTACACTCACCTTTGTACTGTTTCTCCAGAATTTCCAGAAGTTCTTGAAATCGGGAAGCTACGGTCGCTAGGTAGTCTTCAGTCCCTGGGAATAAGAAGAGTTCCAAGTCGTATCTACTACTATACATTCATAATTCTATATTTTGAGGGGTGGGACGTCCCGCTCACTGAATCTCTTTCCGGTTATTTAATTCGGCAATATTTATTTATACACATTTCTTTATGATCGTCTTTGGCTGGGTTATAATTATATCTCATTCGAATTGCATGTGTGTCTCTCCGTGTGTATATCAGATCTCTCTATGTAGGTAACCTTTCTTTCTACTCGCATTAGAACTATTCCAATATTCCTTTACACACGAACAAAGCGTGTAACCTTCTTCAAAAAAAAAAAAGTAACAATAATAAAATAAAAACTACGCACACACTTCTTCACAGAGACTCACCTGCCATGAAGTCTGCCATTTGCTGATCACTGTCTTCTCGCCTCGTGTCCATCTGGTCGACTTTGGCGGTCAGTTCCTCAACCTGCCTGCGTGTGATTTCCACCTGATGGATGATGGCTGAACAACCGTTTGAAAAAAGAGGAGGTGAAGGAAGTGGAGATTAAGTGTGATTTCTTTTTTTTCTTTTTTTTTCGTTTAGATTCTTTTTTTTTTCTTTTTTTGTAAACAAGCGTATCGCTGTACTAATTACCTGTATGTTGTTTCGTCATTGCTTCTTGGAGTCTCCTTATTGTCGAGGTTAAGGTAGCCAGTTTATCATCTATGACTAAAGAATAACTTGAGGTGTTAGATATACAGAAGAAAACACAACACTGAAAATATGCACATGAAATAATACACAACACAAAGCGCATACATGTGTGTGCGCGCGCGCGTGTGTATGTTTATTTAAATATATATGTATATGTATATATGTATGTGTATATATGTGTGTGTGTGCACACACACCTATACGTATATATGTGTGTGTGTGCACACACACCTATATGTATATATATGTATATACATATATATGTATGGAAGTATACATATACATATATACACATAAATTAGTATACAACACTATACATATATAAATTAGTACATGACACTATATATTTACAGCACACACACAAACACACTTACACACGCGCACGCGCGTACATGTGTATGTGTGTATAAAGTCTCCACTGATTTTTATCATTTGATACAACACCGCCTTCGCCGCACGCGTACCTTGCACTTTCTGGAGTTCCGTCAGAATTCGGTCGTTGGTTGGGCAGCAGAAGAGCGTGAGGTCGAAGTCCTGAGAGGCCGCAGACAAGGTCACCAGCAGCGTCTGAACAAGAAGCAACTTCATGGTGTTGCTGGGAAAAAAATGGTGCTTCTCGTTAGTTTCAGTTTTAGTTCTATAGTAGATCGAAACAATTTGTATATTTTCATATACATGCCCCCCTCCCTCCCTCCCTCTCTCTCTCTCTCTCTCTCTCTCTCTCTCTCTCTCTCTCTCTCTCTCTCTCTCTCTCTCTCTCTCTCTCTCTCTCTCTCTCTCTTTCCATAAACTTGCTAGTACCAAAAGCACTTTTCCTTCTACGATCCACACTCACTGTTCTAGACATCGGCGAAGAGGGGCGAATGCACTGCAGACTTAAACCACACCACGGAGACTGCGTGCTTAAACAGCGATGTATTTATGTTGTTATGCTGCACTCCTTCCCTTGCACGAAGCCCCTCCCATTCCACCTCCTTCTCCTCCTCCTCCTCCCTCTCCCCCTCCTTCTTCTTTTCTTCATTCTTCTTCTCTACCTTATATCCACCTCCTCCTCTTCCTTCTTCTTCTCTACCTCATATCCACCTCCTCCTCCTCCTCCTACTTCTCTCCACTTTCTTCCTCTGAAGACATTATGCGACGCGCTTTCTTTGGTTTTGACGTGGTACTCGTGGTGCCCTATGAAGGTTTTGATCTTAAGGAGGTTATATGTTACACTGCATAACATCCTGTCCTCATGATCATAGAGGCTTGCTTCTTAGACAATAGGTCTGAGAAATATCTGACAATCTTTCTCCCTTTTATATATATACACCCACACCTTATGAGTGTGTGTATAGATTGATAGAGAACCAAAATGTATGCCGCTCTCTCTCTCTCTCTCTCTCTCTCTCTCTCTCTCTCTCTCTCTCTCTTCTCTCTCTCTCTCTCTCTCTCTCTCTCTCTCTCTCTCTCTCTCTCTCTCTCTCAAAATGAAGACTCCAGTCTTGACATGAACAGATGTTATGAAAAAAATAAGCAGTTGAATTAGCCTTTTTTCTGATTGGGTTATATTCTTTAGATTAATTCCATTCCATTGTTATTCCATAACAATGCCTGTCCTGTGTAATATACGCTTAAATCGTTGCACGTTGACAATGATTTAATATACTCCAAAGGCATTATAAAGACAAAGACTCGTGCTAAATTTTCTCATGTAGCAACAGAATATAGTGTGGGAGACGGGAGATCACAACACCCACATCTGGTAACAAAACATTTATAGAACATTTGTAGAAACAGGAGTAAAGGGCTGGAGGTTGTTGACACTACGTGACAGTGTCACGTAGTGTCCTTTATTTCTGGTATTATTCATACATAAACATATATATGAAAAAATACTTTTTCTCTGATAATATAAAAATTAGTTTTAAAAAAATCCTTTAATACACATTCAGGAAATTTACATTCTATTCAGAAAAAAATAGATATTTTTTTTTAATGAAGACAAAGGAACTGAGGGTAAACACAGAAAACGCAGTGTTCTGAGCATCAAGGGGTAACTAATATATTTAACATACTCCCCACCATATGAGTAATTATGTAAGACAAATTTCATCTTATAATTTTCTATAACAAACATATACTATTTAATTCACTAACTTATCTTAACCTCAGCCTTAAGAAATAATCTACATCTAAACTAAATACTACAAATTATTACGTTTTTTTTTTTTTTTTTTTTTTTTTTTTTGGGGGGGGGGGGGTACAGCACGACCCGTCGACTATAGGAAGTAGGTTTTAAACAGTTCTCTTCACAAGACTCAGAGCTACTATTTTGATTGTTTCCAGGAACAGATGGTTGAAGTCCAGCATTACATCCAATGAGAAATTGTAAAGGCGTCAAAGGATTTGAGACATCAGGTTCATCTCCAAGAAATGTTAAGGGTCTAGAATTTACACAAAAGGTGGTCTCTAGCTCACTTCTTGACATACATTTAACCCCTATTGTTTTCCTCAGACTTAACAGACCTAATGAAACGTTCCCACCATGGAGAACGGGAACAATGAATTCCCATTGAGGAGATAATGGGCCATATTCTTGCTGAAGATGACGAGTTGCACTCTCAAATGTTTTAGCATTATCTGAGTAAAGAATTGAAGGGAGACCTCTTCGTGCTGCAAATCCACATATTGGAATCATGCAATTAGAAGATAATGAATCAGTCAATTCTTACTGGCTGCTCTTACTACTGCACATGTAAACAGCAAAAGGTGCAATTTCTTGGAAGTCAAATCAATACAAAAGAGTAGTAGTGAAGGGAGAAGCAACCTTAACTCATAATCTTGGTTGAGGTGCAACAGGCTGACTACAAGCCCTAGTATCATACCTCTTACCCTTAACTCTCTTTACAGTTTTAGCAATTAGTCTGATTCCTACTATCCAGTAGCTGCTTCTTAAAGTAGATACAGTGGTTGATATTCCAGCATGCTTGAGAGAAAAAAAATATGCTGAAATGGAACCAGGAGCTTAGCAACATGACCTGAAGGAACAATAACAAAGTGTTTCCTTTCTAAACTTAAATCAGCATTCTCCAAACGATTCTAAATCTCAAAACTCACGCAAATCAGAATCTGTTATATTTCCTGTGCACAACGTTTGGGTACACTCATAGTTCATGTTAACAGGAACCACCCATGAGCCAGATAACACCCAACCAAATACAGACATTTGGCTACTAATCCATTACTCTGATGCGTCTTAATTTCAGAATCCATTAATCCCCAATAAGCATCCAAACCCACAAGTATATCTATACTCGGGTAACTATTATTCTTGTAATCGTCAGCAAGTTGAAAATCGGAAAATGCATTAACCAAATTATTAGGAATACAAGGTTTAGTTACCGATGCACAAACTTTCGGAATCTCTAATGCCATTAAATGTTTTAAACTAACTTCATGTCTAACATATTAGTCTGTTTACCTGGAGGAGACTTACTACCCCCAAGAGTAGCATATGACACAGGTTCCGAGCTCACCCACTTGGTCTTAACTTACTGGCAACATAAGTTCTATCAGAGCCTGTATCAAACAACAAGATGGCTTAACAACAAACACCTGACTCATCAAACACTTTTAACTCTAGCTGCCTGTAACAAACAACTTGTTTTCGTTAACTCTAGCTGTAACAAACAACTTGTTTTCGTTAACTCTAGCTGTAACAAACAACTTGTTTTCGCTGTAACAAACAACTTGTTTTCGTAGCTGTAACAAACAACTTGTTTTCGTTAACTCTAGCTGTAACAAACAACTTGTTTTCGTTAACTCTAGCTGTAACAAACAACTTGTTTTCGTCAACACATTACACTTCCTAAGTCACTCCAACATGAATCACTTAGGGACTGCAATTTCCTGAAGGTTCTACAATATCACTAACCTTCTGATCACTCACACTTTTCGCCATAGTCTTTTCTGTGCTTACCCTTTAATACACAGAGAAAACTAATAAACACTTGGCAACTACTGGCAATATGTCCATTACTTAAAATCTTGAAACATGAATAGGCAGCCTTGATTTTTCCTTCATGGTCCTTTGAAGGCAGCTTCTGAATATCCCAGCACTTCTTAGACGCGTTTCTTGCTGCAGCACAAAAATCCTAGTTCAGATGAGAGACGATGCAGATGGCACTCTTTTTTCCGAGACCACAAATCGTCCTTCTGTCTTTCCCTTTCCGATTTCCTTGAACGTTTCAGATCTGTCTCACTTTATCTCCTTCTGCAGGAACTTCAGCAGCCATTCCAGGTTACCTTCATGATCTGTAGATTCCCTCGACCACTCCAATCTATCTCTTGAGGGAGACGAGACAGGATCACTGGAGTTAACACCATGGTCTTGAAGTTGCCAAAGGGACTCAACAAGATTTGCTCCTCTTGTTCTAGGAGATAAAGAGGCATTCAGAGTTAACACCATGCCACATTGGTCATTGATTTGGACTCGAGTGATCTGTAGATTCCCTCGACCACTCCAATCTATCTCTTGAGGGAGACGAGACAGGATCACTGGAGTTAACACCATGGTCTTGAAGTTGCCAAAGGGACTCAACAAGATTTGCTCCTCTTGTTCTAGGAGATAAAGAGGCATTCAGCGGGCCTTGAACATGGGTAACTATGATTCTTTGAGGATGGCCAAATCTCTCCTTCAATAAATCACAGGCAACTTTGCAATTTGGTATAGTGAGTGCTAATCCTTGGATGACAGAAAGTTTTTCCTTGTAACTTAAATGAATTTATTAACAGATACGTCAGGTTGGTCTACTAAGGCTGAAAGTCTATCCTAAAAGGACTGCTATTTTGTCAGCTCACCAGCATATTTGGGAAGCTCTATTTTTGGTAGCTCTGCATCGGACGTGCTCAAATTGGAGAGAGCCTTTGTCACTTCCATCATTAGCACTCTTCATTCGCAGGGTGGCCGCAAATCTAATCTTTTTCTCTTCAAAACTCTAAGAGACTTTGCCATGTGTGTTACCTTACTTGTCCGGGCGTTGACTACTCATCAAAAGACATTCTCACAGGACCCACATCTAGTAGCAAAACATTTGTAGGAACAAAGGGCAGGCAGTTGAAATAAAGAATATTTCAAGTGAAAAAGTCGGAGAAATTCTTGCAACATTCTTCTGCTGATATCATATTCGATGATTTGTTATATTTAACCTCATAAAATCGGATAAATGGGAATGGGTAGGCCTATATATTAATTCAGGGATATTCATTTGTTTTGATAACACGTCAGAATGAAAGGGCTGTCAATCGGAAGTGTGTGTCTTTGTTTTAGAGGCACTTTATATGAATATAGGAGAAAATATAGAGCTTTGTTAAGATGTTTGGGTAGATTTATTTACTTATCTGCCATCTTGATGCGGCGCTAACTTGTCAGTCGTTTTGAATTGCGCGCTCAAACTGTTACCAACTGCAGGTGAAATAAACTCCACCCTCGACTTGTGTATAACTTATCTCTTTCCGAGATTGTTGGTGGGAATATTGCTTTTAAAACCCAAGTATGTATATTTCGTGTGTTATTTTGATATTTCTATGCTCATCAAGGACTGTTATGATTTGTGCTTTATAAAAAGACATTTCCACATGTCTGGCATCACTGAAGAGGGCCTGCCTGCGTTGGAAAGCGTTTTAAGCAGGGAACGGTACAGCGCTTGGCAAGAATTCTTGCCAAGCGCTCCCCTGCTTAAAACGCTTTTAGTGTTCTGACCATCAAGGGATAACTAACGTATCTAACAACTTTAGTTCGCTTGAGAAAGCAAGCGAAATGCTTGAGTTAGCAAGAAAAACGCTTGAGATTTCAGGCAAGAACTTTCCCTGCTTAAAACGCTTTAACATATAGTATAAGTGTAATCTAAATAAGCCTTTATGGAAATAGCAATAATACTGAC